TCTAGCCAACCAATATTCTGGTTTAACCAAATTCCCTACTGAAAACAAATTCTCCAGTTTCAATCCCTGTGGAAGATCTAAAGACAATTCCACAAGCCCTTATGGTTTGACTTTTCTGTAACCTAATGAAAAGTTCAGTGGAAGGGGAGGGCTGGGTATCTATGCAGTATGAGACCAATGCAAGCAAAACAAAATAAAAGTAGAGTCCCCTTCCCATTGTGAAAGCAATATAGAAAGGCACCTTCAAACTATGTTTGAGGAACCTCTATGTAGTGTGTGGAGAAAAAAGTTCAAATGCAGACTAAACAGGAAAGTCATTAGTAAAAGAGCTAGAGATGTGGGTGTAAGGTGCTGCTTGGGCTTACCGCATTGTCTCTGAGGTAATGTAAAATCCTAAGAGTTTCTGTATTTGAATGGCCATGTAGATTCTTAACATGGTGTTTGAGAGCATGGAGACACATTGGTATGTGCTCTTGAGTTGCTTCTGACTCATGTTGGTGGTGGTGTTATGTGCCATTGAGTCGGACCCGACTCATAGTGACCTCTCCTTGGGAAGTAGATTGTCCAATCTTCCTTCTGAGGAGTGGCTGGTGGGTTTGAACCGCCAGCCTTCTGATTAGCAGTCAAGTGCTTTATTCACTATGCTACCAGAGCTCCTTTCTGATTTATAGTGACCCTATGTACAACAGAAAACACAGGCCGGTCTTGTGCCATCCTCACAATCTTGTTACATTTGAGCCCATTGTTGCAGTTACTTGGTGAGTCCATCTTGTTGACACATTGAGAGATCTTTTAATCTAATGTTTTCACGTTTTAGAAATCAGGTCAATGAAGCTTAAAAGAGCTCTGCCATTCACTTAGTCACATAAGCCTATTGTCGTACCAAGACAAAATTGTCCATCTTTTAACTCAAACCCATTATGCTTTGCACTGCTCTAGTCTGTCTGGAAGTCAGTAATTCAAACTCACCAGCTGCTCCCTGAGAGGAAAATGGGGCAATCTACTTCTGTAAAGATTTGTTGTTGTTGTTGTTATATGCCGTTGAGTTGGAGCTGACTCATAGAAATCCCTCCTTGGGTTTCCAAGGCAATATCATTACAGAAGTAGATTGCCCAATCTTCCTTCTGAGGAGTGGCTGGTGGGTTTAAACCACCAGTCTCCTGGTTAGCAGTGAAGGGCCTTAGGTACTGTGCTATCAGAGCTCCTCTGTAAAGATTTACAGCCTTGGAAATCTTACAGGAGTGACTATGAATTGGAATCGACTTGATGGCAGTGGGTTAGTCTAACTGGAGGAGCCCTGGAGACACGATCAGTAAGTCAGCAGTTCGAAACCATCAATGAATCCGTAGAAAACAAGACATGATGATCTGTTCCTGTAAAGAGTACAACCCTGTGGGCAGGTCCACTTGGTCCTATAGGCACTCTGTGAGTTAGAATCCACTCCACAGCACATAACAATAACAAGTTTACCTGAGGCTAATTTATTCTTCAACAAGGGCAACAAAACACACTCTTTTCAGACTGGGCAAATTGTGTTGTAGAATTGACAATCTAGTTATAAGTAGATTGGAAATCTTAAGGGGGTCACTATGAGTCAGAATCAACTGATGTGATTTAATTTACTTATAATAGATGATTTAGTTTTCCATGATTTTAAAACATTCATAAGATGCCATCCAATAAATAAATTGTTTGACTTGAGTTTGGGGAGCACCAATTACTGAAGAACCAAAAGCCAAACCAAACCCACTGCCATTGAGTCATTTTCAACTCATAGTGACCCCACTGGATTTGCAGAACTATAAATCTTCATAGAAGCAGATTGCCTCATCTTTCTTCCATGGAGTACCTGGTGGGTTTGAAACGCTGGTCTTTTGGTTAGCAACCAAATACCTTAACCACTATACCACCAGAGCTCCTTAATTATCAAAGGCAGAGGTAGAATTCTTGCTTTCCATGCAGGAGAGAGATCTGGTTTGATTCCCAACCAGTGGCCCTCACTCACAGACACCACTGCCTGTCAGGGGGTATTCCTGTGATGCTGAACAGGTTTCAGGAGAGCTTCCAGACTGAGACAGATTAGGAGAGAAAGCCCTGCTGATCTATGTCTAAAAATTAGCCAGGAAAACCCTCTGGATTGCAATTATCCAATTTCATTGTGCATGGTGTCACCATGAGTTAGGGGCCAACTCAATGACAGCTAACAACAATTACTGAAAATTGGAGTGAAAAGGACAGAACATCCAGTGCTCATAGAAAATAAAACAATATCATTTATTAAAACATAAAAGCAGACCTTAGAGATAACGTTTCTGTAGAGAGGGAAAAAAAATCTGTCTCTTTCTTACTCATGTTTATTTATTTTATTATATCCTCTTAAAACCCATTTTCTCTTTTCATTATTATTGTCTTTTATTATCATTATCTTTATAAATCTGATCTTTATTTGTCTTGGTGGATTGGTATTCAATTTATGTCAGAACCAACTTAAGACAGAGTCGTAGGAATGGAACCCCATCTTATGTTGGGGACCACCTGCAATTACCAATTGATTATTGTTTGAGGACCTTCAGAATGGAAGAACAGTTGTAGAGGAGACAAGAGACTAAATTGCATTATTGCATGTGATTACATGTTATCATAGATCATGTTGTTGTTGTTGTTATGTGCCGTCGAGTCGGCCCCGACTCATAGCGACCCCTCCTTGGGTTTCCGAGGCAGTATCACTACAGAAGTAGGATTGCCCAACCTTCCTTCCGAGGAGTGGCTGGTGGGTTTGAACTGCCAGCCTTCTGGTTAGCAGTCAAGTGCTTTTAGCCACTATGCTACCAGAGCTCCTAATCATAGCCACTCTTAATCAAATATTGGCAAGTCGGCAAACTTGGACTAGAATCAAGATATGCCATGATGATCTGTGTGCTATAAAAAAGAATAACTTGCAAGATTATGAGTAGAAATAATATGAATATAGGGACCTAACAACGGCACATAGTAGATACACAATTAAAGATAACTAACATCACTGTTATCATTAATTTCCTAAGGGAATTCTTAATTGTCATATATTTTAGACATTTAGTAGCAAAGCAATGAGTAGATTCCATGTCTCACTCCTAGTTTTTATATCAGTCACATTTGAAGATGAGAGGTAGGATTTATTTTCGTTCCCATGCCTGCTACCTAGTCTACTTTATTTGTAAAAATGTAGGTCATTAATAGCACTTAACATATGGGGAATTACTACTGTCTTTTTTTATAAGACAGATAATGTAATGAATGAAAGTGTTAGTGAGAACTTTATGATATACTTGGAGTCCTAATGGTCCTGGAGCCCTGGACTATTAGATGGAAGGTTGGCTCTTTGAATCTAACCTGAGGCGACTTAGAAGACAGGCCTGCACACATAAGGTTGCCATGGATCTGAATCAACTTGTTTGCCACTAACAAGAAAAACAATAATATGCTTAAGTCTTTAGGCCATGAGCACAATATTAGTTCCTTGGATTTGAAGGAGTATAGTTAGTACTCTTAATCAGAGAAAAAAAGTGTGAAATATTTTGCAGTCGACAAATATAGTTAAATTTCACTTGAGAGAATTATAGGGAATATATTGCAGGTGCAACTCAGAGTTTACATAGAGATGCAATAAGACATTATGACAGGCTTATGAAGACAGAGTTCCCTCTATAACCAGATTTTAGTTGCTGGAAATAAGAGTCTTATCCCCACATCTCTTCCTATGCAGTGTGTTGTTACTGCCTGGAAGCACATTATTGACTTTTTTCATGTGGCAACAAGTCAGACTTGGGTCTTGACAGAGTTGTGTGTGAAGAAGATATAGGCCTCTGGCTTAGAGGCACAGCCTCAGTGTAAGGAAAAAAGATACTGAAAGGACAGGTAGAGGGATCCCAAAATATAAATGTAACCTTTATCACAGTTTTAGGAAGCATAAAACCCTCATTAAAGACAAAAAAAATGTAATCACAGTGCAGTACTATCTCCATGGTGGTCAGAAAGCAACTGACATTTACATGCCATTTAAAAAAAAAAAAACTCACTGCCATCAAGTCAGATCCAACTCATAGCGACCCCTTCTTGGGTTTCTGAGGCAGTTATCACTGTAGCAATAATTGCCCGACCTTCCTTCCGAGGAGTGGCTGGTGGGTTTGAACTGCCAGCCTTCTGGTTAGGAGTCAAATGCCTTAGGCACTACCCCACCAGAGCTCCCTCTTACATGCCATAGATTATAAAATTTCAACAATATGTAGCTTATTTACTTGTACTCTCTTTGGATGTCTTGTCTTACAGGCACGTTCAACATTAGGTCAACCCATCATTATATCCCTGAGTCCCTGTGTAGCACAAATGGTTAGTATTCTCAACTGCTAACCTATAAGTTGGAGGTTCAAGTCTACCCAGAGGTGCCTTGGAGGAAAGGTCTGCTGATCTACTTCAAAAACCTATGGACATGGTTCTACTCTGATACACATGGGGCTGCCTTGAGTCAGAATCAACTTAAAGGCAACTGGTTAACTGGATATATTGCTAGAATGCTTCTCAAAATCAGTCTTTGCTTTCATTATACCTATTCCAAACTTCCCCAAAGAATAACTTCTAAAAAAATAAGTGACAAAAACCTAAACTCCAAAATGATGTCTCACTGAACTTTGATACATAATATTCATTTTTAGGGTTCACTCTCCTCTGTTGTTGTTATTTGTTGTTATGTGCCATCAAGTCGGACCCGACTCATAGTGAGTGACCCCTCCTTGGGTTTCCGAGGCAGTATCACTATCACTACTGAAGTAGATTGCCCCATCTTCCTTTCAAGGAGTGGCTGGGGGGTTTGAACCGCCAGCCTCCTGGTTAGCAGTCAAGTGCCTTAGCCACTATGCTACACTCTCCTCTACTATCCAAAAACTGAGGTGCAATTTTAAAAATTTATTGGAAGTGAAACATTACAATCAAATATGACATAACATTTAGCTTATTCTTACTTAATGTTGAATTTAGTTTCTTTTAGGTATATCTTTGGAATTCCTCCCCTGATCCTTGTTCTGTTGCCAGTAGCATCATCTGACTGTGATATTGAAGGAAAAGAAGGCAACGAATACGAAAAAGTCCTAATGATCAGCATCAATGGATTGGTATGTGCTTGTTTTGTTTTCCTTGGGATGATTTTAAATTGGAACTTCTGTTATTTAGTTCTTTTTAAAAATAATTCTCTCTCAGATCATAAAATATCCACAATTATCCATTTTAGTCCTATATATCATTGCTAAAATTGAAAGCGTAATTCATCTGCACTGCCTGCTTTTTTTTTTTTTTTTAACTACTCTTACAGTGCTAGTCCCTGTAGAAACATTCCATTAGGTAAAATGAAAGAGTATATTGTTAAAATATTACAAGGAAAGAGGTGTGTACTTGTTTGTTTAACCTAAGTATGTGTTTAGATAAAACACATGGAAGCAGCTATCAAGAAATCAAACAACATATTGCATTAGGCTAATCTACTGCAAAAGACCTCATTACAGTGTTAAAAAGTGAAAATGTCACTTTGAGGACTAAGGTGTGCCTACCCTGAGCCACAGTATTTTCAGTCGCCTCACTGGACAATGAATAAATAAGACCAAAGAGGATGCCTTTGAATTATGATATTGGTGAAGAATATTGAATATATGATGGGTTGCCAAAAGAATGAACAAATTTGTCTTGGAAGAGTACAGCCAGAATGCTCCTTAGAAGTGAGGATGTGTTGACTTCATCTCTCTAACTTTGTACATGTGATCAGGGCCAATCCCTGGAAAAGGACGTCATGCTTGGTAAAGTAGAGGGTCAGCAAAAAAAGAGGAAGACCCTCAACAAAATGATTGACACAGTGGCTGTAAGAATGGGCTCAAATAAAGCAATGATTGTGAGGATAGCACAGAGCCAGGCCATGTCCTACATGTCAACACAGGTTTGCTGCTATGAGTCAGAATTGACTAGATAGCACCGAACAACAATAGCATATATGCATATATATGTCTGTCTGTATGTAATTTATTGATTTAATTTTGCTAAGGTTTTAGAGCTATATCAATACAATAGGATATGTTGACTTAAGAGATAATCAGACCTTTCCAATCAGAATAAAGCCCCAACTGGCAAAGGAAAACCTTCTCAAATGTCCATAAGATGGGATAAATTGTTTAATTTGCCTCCCTCTTCAACTCCACTGTCTCCTCCACATACTCATACTGAGGTGGCAATATGCCATGGAAAGCAATGTTATACTTTTTGGAGGGGCATGGGAAATACAAGATGATATTGACCACTGTGTCACAGAGGTCTCTAATTTTGCCCACTGACAAAGAAAAAAAAAAAGTGCACAATAAAGGGTAATTATTGCCTGCATTTTAGGGTGCTTGCTATATATTTGTCTACATTAAATGGATGCTACTAAATGAAACTTATGGGGTCAAGATAATGACTTATTATCTGGATAGAGAATGAACTAAATGAACTAGTATTCATAGTTCAGTAATATTTACATATTATTGTATGTGCGTAAAATTTTGCCAAAAAAAAGATACTATGGAAAATTCAAAAGAAGGAGAGCTTTATCCACCAGACTGATAGCACATTTTCTGAAAATGCAGAGGAATTTATCTTATTAAGACACACAACAAAAACAACAACAACGACAATAAGACAAAATAAAATAAACCTACTTTACTTAAGAAGAGCCCGAGCCCCCTAGAGCCAGGAAAGGGAGGGACCAGGAGTGGCTGGGGACCACAGAGTGGCAGGTTTCAGGTATGAATTAGGTAACAGGAGGGTGCAGAGGTTTCCAGCAGCTAAGGGAGACAAACTTGTCTGTCAGTTTGTCATCCTGTGAGGCTTGTACATTGCTGTGAGGCTTGAGGCTTTGCCACTGGTGTTTCAGATGCCAGCAGAGTTGCACATGGCGCACAGGTTTCAACGCAGCTTACTGACTAAAACAGACTAGGAAGAAGGAGGGTGCCTTCTACTTCTCAAAAATTGGCCAAGGTAAATCTTATGAATAGCAAAGAAACACTGTCTGATACGTTACTGGGCAACTTTATGAATAGCTTGAAAACATTGTCCAACACAGTGAAGGAAGACTAGCCTCTCAGGTTGGAAGGCACTCAAAATAGGATTGGGAAAGAGTTGCCTCATTAGAGTATGGATGAAGTATGATATGAATAAAGTAAGTCTTTCAGGACCTCCATGAACTGACATGGCACCACTCAAATTGAGGAGAAACAGTTGAACAGCTGGAAACATCCATTAATAATCGGAACATGGAATGTACGAAGTATGAATCTAGGAAAATTGAAAGTTGTCAAAAATGAAATGGAACACATGAAGATTGATATCCTGGGCATTAATGAGCTGAAATGGACTGGTTTTGGCCATCTTGAATCAGATAACCATATGATCTACTATGCCGGGAATGACAAATTGAAGAAGAATGGCATAGCAGTCATCATCACAAAAGATGTTTCAAGATCTGTCCTGAAGTACAATGCTGTCAGTGATAGGATAATATCCATATGCCTACAAGTAAGACCAGTTAATATGACTATTATTCAAATTTATGCACCAACCACCAAAGCAAAAGAGGAGGAAATTGAAGATTTTTATCAACTTCTGCAGTCTGAAATTGACCAAACATCCAATCAAGATGTGTTGCTTATCACTGGTGATTGGAATGAAAAATCTGGAAACAAAGAAGAATAACCGGTAGTTGGGAAATTTGTCCTGGGTGACAGAAATAACACTGGAGATCTCATGATAGAATTTTGCAAGACCAACGACTTATTCATTGCAAATAACTTTTTTCAACAACACAGAAGGTGGCTATACACATGGCCTTCACCAGATGGAGTACTCCGGAATCAAATTAACTACATCTGTGGCAAGAGGCAGTGGAAAACTCAGTATCTTCAGCCAAAACCAGGCCAGGAGCTGATTGTGGAACAGACCATCAACTGTTCATATGCAATTTCAACTTTAAGTTGAAGACAATTAAAACAAGTCCACGAGAGCCAAAATATGATCTTGAATATATCCCTCCTGAATTTAGAGACCATCTAAAGAATAGATTTAATTCATTGAACGCCAATGACTGGAAACCAGAAGAATTGTGGGATGACATCAAGAGCATCATCCATGAAGAAAGCAAGAGTTCATTAAAAATATGAGAATGAAAGAAAAGACCAAAATGGATGTCAGAAAAGATCAAAATGGATGAGTGAAGAGTAGCTAAAGCAAATGGAAGAAATCACAAGATAAAAGAACTGAACAGAAGATTTCAAAGAGCAGCTCGAGCAGACAAAACCAATTACTATAATGAAATGTGCAAAGACCTGGAATTAGAAAACCAAAAGGGAAGAACACATTTCGCATTTCTCAAGCTAAAAGAACTGAGGGGAAAATTTAAGCCTTGAGTTGCAATATTGAAAGATTCTATGGGAAAAATATTGAATGATGCAGGAAACATCAAAAGAAGATGGAAGGAATACACAGTCACTGTACCAAAAAGAACTGATAAATCTTCAACCATTTCAGGAGGTGGTGTATGTTCAAGAACCAATGGTATGGAGGTAAGAGGTCAAAGCTGGTGAGGAACAAGGCTCCAGGAATTGGCAGAATACCCATTGAGATATTTCACCATACAGATACCCCACTGGAGGCACTCACTCAGTTATGCCAAAAGATTTGGAAGACAGCTACCTGGCCAACTGACTGGAAGAGATCCATATTTGTACTCAATCCAAAGGGAGGTGATCCCACAGAATATAGAAATTATCAAACAATATAATTAATACCATATGCAAGTAAAATTTTACTGAAGATAATTTAATAATGGTTACAGCAGTATATTGACAGACTTTCCAGAGGTGCAGGCTGGATTCAGAAGAGGACATGGAATGAGGGATATCATTGCTGATGTCAGAGGGATCTTGGCTCAAAGTAAAGAGTACCAGAAAGATGTTTACTTGTGTTTTATTGACTGTGCAAAAGCATTTGATTGTGTGGATCATGACAAATTATGGATAACATTGAGAAGAATGGGAATTCCAGAACCCTTAATCGTACTCATGAGGAACTTGTACATAGACCAGGAGGCTGTTGTTCAAACAGAAAAGGGGAACACTGCATGATTTAAAATGAAGAAGTGAGTGCATCAGGGTTGTATCTTTTCTCCACACTTATTCAATCTGTATGCTGAGCAAATAATCCGAGAAGCTGGACTATATGAAGAAGAATGTGACATCAGGATTGGAGGAAGAATCATTAACAACCTGCGATTCGCTGACGACACAACACTGCTCACTGAAAGTGAGGATGACTTGAAGTACTTACTGATGAAGATTGAAGAATACAGTCTGCAGTATGGATTACATCTCAATATAAAGAAAACAAAAATCCTCACAATTGGACCTGTAAGTAGCATTATGATAAATAGAGAAAAGATTGAAATTGTCAATGACTTCACATTGCTTGGTTCTATAATCGATGCCAATGGAAGCAGCAGTCAGGACATCAGACGACGTATGTTGTTGTTGTTGTTGTTGTTTGCTGTTGAGTCGACGACGTATAGCACTGGGCAAATCGGCTGCAAAGGACCTCTTTCAAGTGCTGAAGAACAAAGATGTCTCTTTGAGGACTGAGGTGCGCCTGACACAAGCCAGGCATTTTCAATCACCTCATATACATGAGAGAGCTGGACAACGAACAAGGAAGACCAAAGAAGAGTTGATGCTTTTGAGCTGTGGTGTTGGCAAAGAATGCTGAAAGTACTGTAGACTGCTAAAAGAACTAACAGGTCTTTCCTGGAGGAAGTGCAGCCAGAATGCTCCTTGGAGGCGAGAATGGCCAGACTTTGTCTCACATACTTTGGTCATGTTGTCAGAAGGGACCATTCCCTGGAGAAGGATGTCATGCTTGGTAAGGTGGAGGGTCGATGAAAGAGGGGAAGGCCCTCAAGGAGGTGGATTGACACAGTGGTGGTGGCAAAGGGCTCAAGTGTAGCAAGAATTATGGAGCTGGCTCAGGATTGGGCAGTGTTTCATTCTGCTGTGCATAGGGTTGCTATGAGTCGGAAATGACTCGATGCCACTTAACAACAATAACA